AGATTTTCAGAATTTCTTCAAGTTCTCTTCTTCCTCTTTTCGCCACCTTTTCTCTCTCCTAGAGAAATCGGTGTTTTTCGCTAGGTGCTAGCGAACGCCCGGTGCTTGCATCGCCAGCTCCGGTTCTCATTACTTCCACGCTGTGTCAGATTGAATTGGACCAGATCCATTTTCCTTCAACCTTATGAGAAGCCGACGACGGCCCATCAATACAAGAGAATTGCTAGCTAGTTTTTACCTGTTCAAAGCTTTTTTCAGTCTAAAATATGAAGCTTTGATCGCCTAAATATAGACCTCCGGCCTTGGGCCTCCTCTCTAACAATTGAACAAACAAAAGAATACAAATATAAGGAAGGGAGGGCTATAGGCTGAGACAATAATGCCATATTCATCATCATCAGTTTCGACGAAGAAAGGTTGAACGTTATTGAGCAGCAAAGGTAAACAAAGGTCTCAGAGTTGATAGAGTCGTGTGTTGATCACGGTTTATTCTCCTTTTTATAAGGGGAGACCTCGAGGCCTGAAGGGAAGGGGCCAAAAGGGGTTTGATTCCTATTTGGAAAGGAGATTTTTTATTCGGTGTCAGTTGTCAAGAGGATACTAATAGGGGTTCACCACATGTCGTGCGAGATCTTTCTAAGACGAAGTTTCCTTTCATCCAAGGATTCTCATGATACATGTGTGCTACTTCCCCTTACGGGTCTCTTATATTAGCATGGCACAGATAACGTCAGAGCTAATCTCACGTATTCACTCAATTTACTAGATGTCTTATCGTGAATGACTTTGACTTGTTGTAGTTGTGCAGTGGTTCTTTAGTCCATTGCAGGTCTGCGATGGCTTTAAAGTCATCGCAAGCTTATAATGGATTCATTGCAGGCCCTCAGTGACTTTTTTGCCGTCATGGATATTTCTGTCGTCATGGTTTGAAGAACTGATACGCTTTTGGTAGGTCAAGAGCTTCAACTCGGCGGACCCACCAAGATCGTTAGCCGTGTGTCTTGTGTTGGTGGATCCCAAGGACCATATAGATTTGTGATGGAGCAGAAAAGAGTTGCTTTGTATCTTAAGAATAAGAACTCCTCAAATCCATTGCTTTACAACTACGATGAGTTTGGGAACGGACAACAGTCCCTGGCCTATGTAAACTTCAACAGTGAGCCTGAAACAGATGAAGCCTTTGCTTTTGATTTAAAATTTGAAGCTTCCATGATCAATTCCTCTGATGATTCAACTCACTTCTGGGCTAGACCAAAAAACAATAGCACCTATTCTATGCTTTGATTGGAATCGGATGGTAATCTGAGGATCTACACCTACTATGACAAGATTGAGTGGGATGCTTGGGAAGTAACATTCACCCTCTTTGACAGAAACGGGAGGATGGGCGAGTGTAAGCGGCCTGCGAGATGTGGATCATTCGGAGTTTGTGAGGATGAGCAATGTGTAGCATATGTCCTAAGCCTCCTAGCTTGACATGGTGAAGCAAAAGTTGTGCACCCCGTTCTTCCTCTCTGCAAGGCTAAAGCCAATGTAAATTATTACAAAATTGTGGTTGTTGAGCATTTCCTGAATGAGTACATAGAGGGAGATGGTCCAATGAATCAAGCTAAGTTTAGGGATAAGTGTAACAAGGAATGTGGGTGCTTAGGTTTCTTCTACAAGGAAGAATCCTCCAAATGCTTGCTGGCTCCTGAACTCGGCACTCTCAGTAAAGTGTCCAACTCATCTCATGTAGCTTTCATTAAGATCTCTAAGTAGATCTTAGTGAGAGACCTCATTACTTCCTCTCTTGAACCGAAGCTAATTTGGGTGTCCATAATAAATAGAGTGCACCTCTAGTAACTCCAATGCTGCTGCTGATGGAGCTACCTATTAAATAAGTTTATTTGGAAATCTATTAATAAAATAGAAGCAGATGTTATGAAACTTTCATGTCTGAATCTCTGAATGATGGTTACCATATATGGGAGGTTGATTGAATTATATATGGACATATCCCTAGATTATTAATCTGCCTAATAACTGCTTACCTTTGATCTAACTCGGCATAGATTCATAAACTAGCTCTTGTTGCTCAACTTGTTAAGACATATCTAATGCCATTCTTAGTTTATCAAGTTCACAGAGTCGGACCAATTATTAAGTGGGATAGTTCATTATAACCGAATTAGACCCGATTTTCTTTTCTTTTTTTTTTTTTCTAAGCCGATTAGACCCGATTATACTTCACATCTATTACTTATTATAAAATAAATATAACAAAAACTACAAGAAAACCAGCTGATCATTATATTAAGTATTTAACTATATGATCAGTAAAACTGTAAATTGAGTCGTGCTGCCCGTGGCCCAGCACGACGGCACATAGGCCGTGCCAGGCATGGCACGATCGTGTGAGCTGTGTTGGGTTGGAGGTTTCAGGTCTATGGGCCGGCACGACATGGCACGATTCTGCGTGTTGTGCCAGCACAGCCCGTGGCACAGCATAGAACAGCCCAACCCGCAGGCCTATAACGGACCAAGTGTAGCCCGTCCAAGAAAACTAGCTGTTGGGGCCCTTGGATGACCCCCTAAATGGCTAGTTTTAGTTTTTGTAGGGGTTTTTACAGAAATACCCCATCAATCAACAACTATAAACCCTATAAGTGGCTATATAGGGGGGTATTTATGTATTTTGGCTTTGGGAGAACAAAAACACAATAATGGCCCTCTAACAGTTATATCCTATAATACAATAGCTAGTTTGGGACTTTGGGGACATTTGGGTAAAGTGATAAATGACTTTATAATGACCAAAATACCCCTCCCAACAATTAAAAAATGGCTAGCTTTTAGGGTATTTGGGGCAATTGAATTATTTTCAATTCCTATAAATAGCCCAATCCTCCACCATTCTCATCACACCGTTTCAACAATTCTGAATTCTTTTCTGAATTCTTTATTCTCATTATGTCATATTTTCTCAATCTCTCATCTCATACTGTCATAGTGTCATAGTGTCATACACTTAGCAATTTAGGAGGCTTTGGATTTTGAGGGTTCAACAGTTGAAATCAAGTCGAGATTCTGAACAGGTAATCAAGTCATCCGGCTAAGTATAGTTATATTAATTTTATTTTTTATAATTAAAAAATGGTTGGCTCCTCCTCTTGAAACCAAAAAAATTAAGAATTATAAAAATTATTTATTGTTATACATATAAAAATAAATATATACATATAAAAAATGTTTTTATTTTATATACAAAAAAATAAGAATTATAAACATCATTTACAATTATACATAAAAAATAAAAATATTATATATAAAATATTATTATATATAACAAAAATTATTTTATATATATATATGTATTTATTTTTATATGTATATGAGCTAAGCTCGATTCGAGCTAGAGACTTGATCTGTTCAAGCTTGGCTTGGTTCAAAGCTCGCAAGTTTGAGCTCAGCTTAGCTTGAGCTCGACTGCAAACCAAGTTTTTTTCTAAACAATAAAAATTCTAAATATAAAAATACTTTTTTTATTATACATACAAAAAATTGAGAACTATTAAAATTATTTATTATTATACATATAAAAATAAATATATACATATAAAAAAGTGTTTTTATTTTACATACAAAAAATTAGAATTATAAACATTATTTACTATTATACATTAAAAAATAATAATATTATTATATAATAAAAATTATTTTTTATATATACATTTATATGTATATGTATATGTATATGTATGCATATAAAAAATATTTATTTATTATACTAGGCTCGAGTAGGCTCGCGAGCCTCACGAGCCGAGCTTCATTAGGCTTGAGCTCGACTCGGTTTCCTATATATTAGGCTCGAGCTCGGCTCGAAGCTTGGTTTTAACCGAGTCGAGCTGAGCATTTCACGAGCCAAGATCAAATAGGTTGTGAGAAGCTCGGCTCATGGCCACCCCTAAGTAGCCTGATTTGGAAAGTATTTAAAATAAAGGATGTTGTGGGGAAGGAAAAAAGAGTCATTTGCCAAAAATGTAAGATCGACTTTAGTTTCAGTAGCAATGGTGGTATTAGATACTTAGGCAGACATTTGATTTTCCATGAGAAACAAGAAAAAGACATTTACTTTACTTTAAAGATTTGCTAAATGTTGAGGATAAATTACAAAACAGAGAAGGTCATGACACTACTACACCTGATGAAGAAGATGATTAAAGTCAAGGAGATGGAGTAGTTTTATTTATTTTATTTAGATTATTTGTTATTTTTTCAACAATATAATTTTTTATTTTCAATTTATAATTTTTTATATTTTAAATGAAATAAAATTCCTATTTTTTTCAATTTGTTGTGCAACTTGTATTTTGGTAAGTTTTTTTTTTCATTTCTTTGTTAGATTTCTTTTTTTTTTCAATTTATTTCCAAAGAAAAATTAAGTATTTTAGTTTTACTTAACAAAAAAATTAAAAAATAACAAATAAAAAGTTTGGACATTTTTAACCTGATTTGGCCGATACCCAAGCCCACGACACGGGCTTGAACTATGGGCCATACCGAACTGATCCCCCAAAATATCTTTAAGGAAAAAAAACACAGCCCGTACTGCTTGCGGAACCTCAATATCCACGGGCTTATTAGCTAAATGGCAATTGGCACATACAATACGCCCAGTCGCTTCTCGTGGATTTTCATAACCCTGCTGTGCAAAAATGGGATATGCNCGAGTTATTACATATATCATGATCGATACGGAAATGGATCGAGTCATCTGTTCCTTTATCCAAGAAAAGGTATTTCTATTTTGCATGGTCCAATCATTGATCCCGAAAATTTCTAYAATAAATTAGGTAGGTGGCTAGTATAGTTCCCTATCCAGCAGGGCATACGACACCAGTCCAACACGGCCCATTTTACAGCGATAGGAAAAGAGGTTTGAAACAGTAATAGCCGGCCCTGACGTGATTTACAGCGATAGGAAAAGAGGTTTGAAACAGTAATAGCCGGCCCATTTTACGCGACTCAAAGCAATATATAAATCAGTTTGGTCGGTTTAATTCTGTAAGATAGACCCGATTGAATTACAGCTCCATGAATTGATAATTATGGATAAGAGCCCACCTTTCGGGAGGTAGTTGTATTTATCCTAATTCCTAAACCACTTTGTTGGTTGATGGAGGTATCAATGGGTCCCAGTCCCAGATTCTACTTCTATAGAAATCCATTTTTGTTGGTAGAGTTATGAATGGATTAGGACAACATCCAGCGAGACATGACTGAAACTTCAATTCTGGATATGCCCCCACGGATCTAATATGAGTACGGCCAAGCTATTCTACTTATCAGGGCTGGCAAGTTGGCCAACCAGGAACCCAGACTGGCAGAAAATGGATAAATTAGAGATGACAATTTGAACCACTCCGTCTACGTCAGTAAATTCTTTTTTTTCTTTACAATTAATCGGCTTTGCGGCCGGTAGGAATGATTGGGCTAAGCGGGATTCCTTTTTATCTACAGGGGCGAGAATAGGATTAGGATTTCTAGCCTCATCGGGTAATGGTTAAATTCAGGATTGGGGACGGAGCATTCTAAAACAACCACATGGCAAGTGTTCCACTTTAATATATAGATCCAGATTCTCTTCTCTTTCCCATTAATTCCTTTTGATTATCTCTCTTCGTTATTAACTCTTTTTCCTCTTAATAACTCTATTAAATTATTTAAAATTCACGGACTTGTTCTTCTTTTACTTTGATTTTTTAGCTTAACCCAAGCTTAGGCCTATATCAGGCCCACAAATTTCAAGGTCGAGATTGGGCCTAATATTTCAAGCTTTGCTTAGGCCCAACCCGACCTACAAACAAAATAACATTTAAAATTTAATTAAATCATGCAAAAATAATGCTTGGGCTACACACAAAGGGTTTCTTTTTTGGCTTCAATTTCACCTACTAAAGGCCATGCATCACACAGCCCCCAACTTACCAACTAGAAATTTATACATATACGCACACAGTCAAACAAGGGACGGTATACATATACGCACACACTCACCAATTATGGGTGAGTCCCACCAATATTTGACATTCCAACAATTTACATGGATGAGGTTACCATTTATAGCCCCATCACATGGTGGGGATAGGGTGGGGTACCTAAGTTTGAGGTTGGGATCAACTTGACCCATGTTTATTTATACTCCTTCTATTTCAATTTTTCTTAACAAAGCAGGGTCCTGACTAGTTGTGCTTAAGAAACCAAAAGCACACCCTAAAAACACAAGGCTGTGTTTGGTTGCAGTGCAAATTTATTTGCACTGATGCAAAACTATGATGGTGTAAATGATTTCAATGAAAAATTTGATTTATTTTTGTTTCAAATTTTACCTTACTATGTTTGGTTGTAGTACAAATGAAATAGAGTAAGACCTAGAGCATATTAAAGTCAAATCTAAAACAAAATTAAACCAAAATTTACATTTTTTTTTTCATTTGCACTCTCATACATTTGTATTAGTGCAAATAAAATTGTATTGGTAAAAAGCAACACCAAAAGATATCAAACAAGCCAAGGGACAACTTTTTGCTTCTTTCATTTTCAAGAAGCGTTTGATATTAATTTTCACTCATTGCAAAGATCGTTAAGGCTATGTTTGTTTTAAAGGAAAAGGTAGGGAAAGGAAGGGAAAGATATCAAAACCTATACAAGATTTCTAAGGGTTTCCTTGCCTTTCCTTTCCTTTTCCTACTTTTTCCTTCAAACCAAATATAAACTTA